ATATATATATATATATATATATATATATATTTACATTTATATATATATATATATATATATATATATATATACTTATATATATATACACTTGTTCGTGAAAACTTCATCGTTCAGCTTCGGTCAATCGTGTCTTGTGTGTGGTGAGCCGCACACCACTGAGATCGGTCGAATGCATAACTCGTGACTCATGCTGACACGAACTATGCACTGGAGATGAAGTCGATGGGGCGAGACTATAATTTATGGACGAACCAATCCGATTTAAGAATTCAGGTCTTGGATTTCAGCACCAAATTCATTCATCCACATGTCTAAACTGCATTATACCATTATAACTGATGTCAGTTCATGATGAAAACCTTGACTCTAGTTCCCAACCCTACTGCCCAACCGTAAATCCTAATCGTAATTCTTCACACTAATCTACAAACCCCATTTAACCCTAGTGAGTAGGTGGACATTCTCAAGGTCACTTGAGCATGGTTTAACGGTCGTCCATGCATCACAGTGCTACTATCAACCAGAGTAGTGTCAGCGTCGACACACCAACTCGACCAGTGGAGACGTGTTTTCTGACGACATATCATGGTGAAGACTGATTGGTGGAGAAGTGTCAGGTGGTGTGTGTGCTTGTGCATGTGTGTGGCGTGTGCGTGTGCGCGTGCGCGCGTGTAGTGTGTGTGTGTTTGTGTGCATGAAATTATGCATGAGTGAGTGTTGTTTTCGGCAGCTGGTGCTGGACTGAGACGACGATTGCTCGGGTGTGGTCGGACGACACCAGCGACATCTGCGGTGTGTCGGTCGTTCAGTGTTGAGTGTGTGTGATGAGAATGTTGTGGTTGTGGAGGGCAGGGAGAGAGGTGATTTGCAGTGGTCGACGTTGGTGGAGCACACTGTGGGCTGACAGGTGACCAGGATGGTGGGACTAAAAAGCCGACCCCGACGGGACTCGAACCCGCAATCTTCTGATCCGAAGTCAGATGCCTTATCCATTAGGCCACGGAGCCCACGACATGACACACATCGTCTCATCTCACACCAACCGTCCACATCAACTCACCTCACACAGACAAACGTACAAACACACACATTCATGCACAATCGCTCACCAGTCACCACTCACTGTCTCAACCAAACACTCAACACTGCTCAACAACACCCTAACAAACTTCCTTTCGTCACCTCCAACTACACGCATATGCAAACATCCATGCATACTCACATTCATATATATGTCTATATATATTTACATATATATATATATATTTACATTTATATATATATATATATATATATATATATATATATATATATATATATATATATATATATATTTACATTTATATATATATATATATATATATATATATATATATATATATATATATATATACTTATATATATATACACTTGTTCGTGAAAACTTCATCGTTCAGCTTCGGTCAATCGTGTCTTGTGTGTGGTGAGCCGCACACCACTGAGATCGGTCGAATGCATAACTCGTGACTCATGCTGACACGAACTATGCACTGGAGATGAAGTCGATGGGGCGAGACTATAATTTATGAACGAACCAATCCGATTTAAGAATTCAGGTCTTGGATTTCAGCACCAAATTCATTCATCCACATGTCTAAACTGCATTATACCATTATAACTGATGTCAGTTCATGATGAAAACCTTGACTCTAGTTCCCAACCCTACTGCCCAACCGTAAATCCTAATCGTAATTCTTCACACTAATCTACAAACCCCATTTAACCCTAGTGAGTAGGTGGACATTCTCAAGGTCACTTGAGCATGGTTTAACGGTCGTCCATGCATCACAGTGCTACTATCAACCAGAGTAGTGTCAGCGTCGACACACCAATATCGACATTTTTGGAGCACTCTTTGTGCTGACATGCTACCTGGATTGTGGTTCTATCTGGCAATCTCTTTTTTACTCTAACTTTTCAGTCTTTTTTCATAGTGTTATTCTCTCTATTGATAATTTTATTTGTTTCTTGTATACTTCTTTTGTATACTTTATAATTCTCACTTTTTATCGGAAATAATTTGCAGAGGTTTTTATCCTCCAAATGTTTCATATTATTTAAATTACTTCTAGACTTAGCTTTGCACTTTAACCTTCAATCTGCTCAAACCACTTTATTAGGTATTACTTTGAACTTCTTTATTTTAATGAACAAGTTATGGTCTAAATTAATTTACAATAAACTCTGAACAGTTGATTTTTCATGTCTCAGTATGAAATTATGAATTGCATACTAGAATATATTTTTTATTTAAACAATTATAAACTGTATAGATCTGTGGATATGAAGCAATTTTTAAAAAAACTCATATTTCGTGATGATCGTATTAAAGTATAAATTATAATATTTAGGTAACTGACGGAATTAACCGATATGCACGTTAAGTCTGGCTTGTTGTCACGTAATTTATTCGCCAACCGAAATACAACTTGTTCACTTTTGTACTGTACTAAACCAATTATATTTGACCAGTCCGATCAGCCTAGCGTCCTTATTGGTCTTTTGCTCACCTAGCCTGTGCAGTTGAGTTCAGCACATCAATAACAGCTTCCATAATGCAGATCATTTATTTTAGACATACTTGATTTATATACCAACCAAACAGACCGCATCGTATCATAAAATAGGAAATAACATTTATACAAAATAAAGTCCAAAGTGGCTATGAACGTGAGAGACTATAATCAATAACCTGAACACTAAATCTTATCATAATAGTCTATAGGCCAAAATGAAGCTTATAATAAGATGAATATACATATACATAATCTAAATACTGACTAGTTATATCATAAGAATAAATAGATAATATTAGTCCACTAATAGTTCTCACAAGTTACTCGTAATTTAATCTTCACTACGATATAACGATAAGATTTAGAATGAACCATGCTTAATATATTATATATTCCATAACCTTGATAATATCATTGTCAATATGGTTACTTGTAAAAGTCTGCTTTTAGTCATTATCTTTTACGACTAAATAATCCTATATATATATATATATATATATATATATATATATATATATATATATATAGAGAGAGAGAGAGAGAGAGAGAGAGAGAAAGAGGAGGAGGGAGATTGAGATAGATATGATCAAATTATGTTATATAGAAATGTTTGCATTCATTAAATCATGTAAACTAATTACATAATAGTTAACTCCTAAAATCTAACATACTTCTATTTGGTTATATCTAATCTCTACTATCTATTATTAAAATCAGTTTTTTTTCATTATTTGATATTTAAATTAACAAACTGTTGTTTCGTAACTGTTTTCTTTTGTATGAAAATGATTTATTTATTTTGTCATTAATATAAAATAAGAATTTACCTTGATCCTTTGAATAATTTAACAATGCTTTTTTTCACTTCTCTCTCTCTTTCCACATATACTTTAACCTCAAATAGAAAATGAAGCGACTAGTATTATTCTCTGTGTTGTTTATATTTTATTATGGATTATTAAGATTGAATAATACGCCTTTGCGGCAACTTAAATTTCTTTTCCTTTTTCTTTAAACTTTTTCTTGCATTTATTACATCATTGGATTTTATTCCAACTATCTTCCATATTAATAATCTTGTTATATCAACTGAACTTTACTCATTTTATTCCTAACAATGTTTACTTGTTTCTAGCCGTTTGAACTGTTGTCACAATCAGTGTTGTAGAATGTTCTTTTACATAAGGTATATATATTTACAATATTGAGTCTATTAAATTTATTTACACCCTTGCTACACTATACTAATATGTCTTCAATATAATTTCCAACTAAACCCTCTCATGTAAGTAATTTAAACCCATTAGGTAATTATGATTTTTAAATATCGCAGGTTGTAAGCAGCTGACGAGAACCTACAAAATAAAGTGAATTCATGCTATTCTGGTAGAATGTTTGTTCTTGTTCTTTTCAAAATGATAAAGGGAACTATGAGTACGAATATTTTCCGTTGAAAATAAGAAAGTCATGATTAGTGTTATTTAAACATGTTGAAAGTGAAATAAATATCTACCAATAAGATTGGGTAATGTTTCTCTTTATGAAATGAATGAAATCATCTATATAATACATTGAAGTAAAACTCATAGATCTGTATGTTAAACATTGGCTTCGAGATTTGAATACTATTGATTAAACGTCAGCAATAGTCGTGGATGTACTCCACTGCGGTGTTCTATACTAAGATGAAATAGCTGTTTAGTGATCCCTGGTTTTAGCTGGTTCCTCGCTTTAGTGATAATCAGTAACGAAAAGCGACTTAAATTGGTACGATCTCTTCAAATAAAGGTTCGAATATTATTCGGGAGGATCTGAGGCTGTGCTTTAAAACTAATCAGCTAGATTTCTATGTCTTTTACTAGAGTTTATCTTTCTACAGAGACTTAAATTAAGTAATTGTAGATATGTTAATTTCGAAAACAGATTCCCTTACAAAGTGACACTAACTGGAAAAATAATAGAAATCAGAAAGTGATATGTGATAGTATGTTATATTTCTTCTGAAGTTCAAATTAAGTGAAGACATTATACTTAGTGTTATGCAACAATAAAATAAGTTATGAAAGCTAAGTGGGTATCAGTTGTTAGTGTTGAAACATTTATATCATGGATTCGATAGATCAAAAAGATTATATAATTCTACTCAGAGTCTAAATATAAACTCTTAAACTCTGAATACAAAGTTAGCTTCATAATGGGAAAGAGATCTTTCTTATTATATACGCTATTACTGAGTCAATTCATTAGAAAGAAAAGCTGTTTAGGAATTAATTAATAATTAGGAAATAACTAGATTACGATTTTAATGATGTAATCAAGAAACTATTCACATTAACGATATATATATATATATATATATATATATATATATATATCATATTAATGAATGGGATATCATACTTTGATGAATGCTTTTGCAATTAGTTATTATGTTTTCTTTCCTAGCTCAACCTAGTGTCTGCCATTCAAGAAACATGCGACTGGGAATCGTGAACGGGGATTTCACTGGATTGCTATGTAAGTTTTTCATCTGATTTTTTCTGAGAATTTAGATCAAGTGTATGTCTTAATCACAAGTATTTAAAAAACGCAGCATGTTTAATACTTTTTCGTTTAGTTTTCTTTCTCAGCTACTATAACTAAAATAATCCTCTACGTTTTTAAGACTTTTTGTTAGTAACAATCGAAAAGAAAACATGGGTCTGAATTTTTTGGTTTTTAGCACTTGTCAGCAAGATTTATCTGCAACTTTGAGGGAACTGATTTATTCAATGTTACAGTTGGAAGCATAAACATTGAGCTATTTTGACTATAACTGACCCCATGTAGGAGTGAAATGTAAACACTGACTGATCACTGAGAATCTGTAACTGAAGAAGCTCAAACACATCTATAGTTTCTCACTAATAAATTTCGTGCTGAGTAGTGACTTTGAATAACTGGTCTTAAAGTTACGCTCACGTCGTGGAACTTGAAAGTCCCTGATTATATACTAGATCTAAGTTCTGTCTATGAAAAATTAGCTGTTTACTGCCCTCTGCTTCTCACCAGTTCACCAATTAACATTAAGCTGTAAGGAAAATTATCTGTAAAGTAAACTAACTCCCACAAACCTCTTGATCTGGAAAAAATTGTTTAAGTAGATAACAATGCATTCATTTCAGAAATTATCTAACAATTAAACAAAACACAGATGATTACTTTGAATATACATGGGAATATTTCTAAACTCAATGAAACATACTTATCATTTAAATGCATTTTATTATATAGTATTAACGATTATTGATTGATTGAGGTTGACCGCCTAGAGAAAATTTTTTTCCCATCTACATCTCGTACTCGTAATCCAAACAAATAATCACATTCTTTTAACTGTTATTATTTTTTACCAGTAGGTGTTATATTAACTATTTTCTTTCTTTCTTTAAAAAAAAAATACAGCTGATCCATATGTTAATCGATTTCAAACACTTTGGTTCACAAATAATTCTGGTCTTATCCCATCACTAAAACAAAATTCATCATTTTTATCAAAATCAGATTCAAATAATTATGATCAAAGTATACAAAAGAATATTTTACCAAATGATAAGCAAAGTTTATGCTCAGCTGCTTCAACCTCATCATCATCTTTGTCTATTGTAAATGGTTACTTTAAAAACTTAACAAAGATTCTACTTGTTATGGATTTTATTATTCCAATCATAATATTTTACATTTGTTTAAATTAAATGGAATTGTACATTTATTCCATTCTTTTAATTTAATCATAACTATAGGGAAGTTTTGTCTCTATAGGATACATCTAAGTATTCTAGCCTAAAAATTGTGTGATTCATGAAACTCTAGTGGGTCCCTTTATTTTGATGTCAATTAAATCGGACGATGTTATCGGTGGGCTCACCACTTTATTGGCCTTATATCTGGCTCTAATTAGATCGTATGAATGATTGTTGTCAAAATATACAACTTGGCTGTCCTCGTACACAATTATCAACTTAACTCACGTTGGTGAATAACGGAATTAAAATAAGTCAAATACGAGAAAGTATTTCGAACACGTATATTTTGTACGATCATTGATCAGAAAAGACAATCGGAGAGACATAACGAAGGAAGCAAAGAAGAGAGTGAAGCGAAATGATGCACAGCGAAGAAGGCATATGAGCCAACTCGATTTAACCAAGCATGAATCGATATTTATTGTCGAACAAAAATAAGTTACAGTCATGCGATAAATAGGGTAAGAAATGTACACACATACGCACATATAAAAACAGTCAAGTTTGATAAGGGAATAATTAACAAGGTCAAAATGTGATTTGAGAAAAATGAATAAATTGGATTGTCCAAAAGCAAGAATATGCTGTGTGGGCTTAATATAGCAGCTGACACTACAAAACCTTGAAATCACAAGACGAGTAATGTATGAAACTGAAAATAATCTGAGTAATAAAACTGAAGAGACCATCTATGAGTCAATTGAACAGTTCAATAAAAAGTAAAAAGAAGAAAGTGTAAACTTGGATGAGAACATTTAATATTAATAGAGAATATTAAATTGTTGCGTCAAACAGGTAATAGCAATTAACGAAAGTAAATGAAGCTCTGTGTTATAAGTAGGCAAACTGTTCAATACAAATAGTCTCATGAAGCGATACTAAACAGTATAAAAAAATTGTAAAATTATCATCACCATTAGAAAAACCAACTGAAATATATAAACGACATTAGAAGCTCACTATTATCAAGAAATATAAATTGATTTCAGATATTGAGATCATGAGTCGATTGAAGCTAGACGATCATGGAAAACCTGGAAGCACTGGACGACCGTTTCGTTCCATTTTGGGACTTCCCAGCAGTGTAGATCCACGATCCCGCCTCACGGGACGTGAACCCAGGACTTACTGGTCTCGCGCGCGAGCACTTTACCATTAGACCACTGAGCCTGTCGGCATCCAACAGTGTTAATGACTAACTTCAACTAATCCATGAAATTGAGCGATACATCTCACAACTGACCCCGTTGAACTCCACTGGTCACTGTTTCTCACTAGAACTCCAGGATGCACACCTCAAACAGAATATATCCGACAAATGTTTGCACTACTGAATATTAATAAGTAGGATAATATATTACACGAAATCATAAGACACGGTCCAATATTTATTTAACGGCTTGGAGAATATTTTTCCAATTCTCTCTTAGCTTTGTTTCACTGATCATTGGATCAATATGATTTCATACATCTACAGAAGAATGATGAAAAGTTAATGATAATCTCAAATCATTTAACTAACACAATCGTACTTCATAATAAATATATTTTTTGTAATATTCCATGCAGTAGAAAAAATGTATTTATGACGTTTCGTAACTGATGTAAGCCACTTCTTCAAAGTAAATATATTTGTTTGAAATAATCGAACTTCATTTATAAGTATGCTGTTTTATCCGTATTAATAAACTCACACTTAATGTATAAAAACCAAAATTCTTAGAAAACTTAACATCTACACATTCATGAGTTATACGTAATGCCAGCTAATGTAAGGCATAAACAATGGAAATGACTTCTTTCGTCAGTGCTATACATAGATATAACCAAATATATCCGAGTTTAAAAATCAATAATTAGCGAATTTGAAAACGATTTTCATTATTATATCCTGTAAAGCAATCAATAAAGGATAATATTCTACATTTTGTTTGAAAATCTCCAGAGCTTTCTCTTAATGTACACTTATGACTTCTTACTCTATTGTACCCAAGAATTCCCGTTCACTAAATGAACACAAAATCATTTATCTTGTGTTCCTGTTTCGCAGTGTGTTTGATCAATAAATGGTTAACAAATCCAAAAACCCACTATGGTTGTTACTTTATTCACTGTGTAGTCGATTAGACTACTTGATCCTTGGAATAAAAATACTTAAGCCACATAAAAATGGAAAGATTATTAGTTAATAAACACCTTTGAGTAAACAGAATCTATTAGGAAATAGCCTCAAATTAGTTCGAAATTGTGATTTGAAAAAAAGAATCATTTCCACACCGAATCAATATCTATAAGACTTCACTCTGACGCCCTAAGTTACCACTTTTAGTATTATCATCGACGGAGTTGTCGTAGTAGACAAGTCCAACCACCATCTCAAAATAGTAGCTAAATAATGATTCTTTATTATTTCCGTTACGACTCTTTATTGTGCTACTCTATACTGTTTAATACTATTTAGTAGTTTATATTATACCCAATCATTTTGCAACCATAAACACTTGCATAGTCTATTATTAATATTCGAAATATTTAGTTCATTATCATTTGATCTTTCCTTTATCAAATCTTATTCACTTCTTTTAAATCATATTTCAAATAGCTGATTAAAAGTATAAAATTGTATTCAATGATCGCTTGAATCAATCTGAACAGACTAGTCTTATGATGATTATTAACGAATCAAGATTTTAAACTCAAAAATTCTTGTGAATGAACAACATTGATGTTATCACTCTCTCTTATTACAACCGAGTTATTCTTATTATTTAATATTCTTGGACACCAATTCACTCGAAAAGTCCCCAGATCGGAACACAGTTGAACAGGAAAGAAATTATATCCCAAATAACAAGGATAATTAGAAGTAAGAAGCACAATAAGAAAAATGTTAGTATATTTATAGTTTTCATATGAGAAGATTCTACAGTCTTCTCCAAGAATCGGCTAGCGCTGGTTGGATAAAAAATAGCCAGTCAGCGTGCACCAACGCAAACGTGCATGGAGCATGCTTTAATTCAATCTATGTCCCACTAACAACTGAACATAATGACTAGTCATAAAAATATAATATGCACTCAAGTGTAAAATATTTTACATGACTGGAATTCCCTTGGAAATTATGATGGGCAAAATGCTATATGAATATTTATTGATTACGAATATGTGGCTGACTACTCTGAACAGCTGGGTCAACTGACGCAAAGCCCCAGTAAAATGACGTTAAAAAAGTCAGAACTGATAAATAAAACAGTATTCCGTTTATATGAGAAAGTCACATACTTGTGTAAAAAAACATTCAACCCAATAGAAACATTCACAAGTTGTTGAAAGGGTTTTGTGGAGATAAGTTTAATTTTTAGGTAATATTAGTTACTGAATGGTTTCATTTATGGTACTGTAGTGAACGAGAACTCAGATGGAGAAAACCAAGTTATTATTTTTATGCGAAATTACACAGTACTTTGGTAAAAATATGAAAACACATTATTTGCACATTCTCCGTCAATTGTCCTTTACATACCTTATGATTCTTCTAATTCAGTCGTTATTCCAATTGCTCCCCTTCTCCTTTCCTTTTCTCTTGAATCTAATCTTATGCTGGCAGGCCCTCCGTCTCCGATTGCATAAGTAGCATACACCATAGTATCACTAAAAACCAGGGATCACTGAACAGGTACTTTATTCAAATATGATGGTTCTCAGTTATGCGTACTCACTCATCCCATCAGTAGTTAAACTCAGGACTCTTAATCGTCAGAACTGTTGGACAGACTTCCAGTGGTACAGTCCCAACTCCAAACATTCTGGGAGTGAAATATTTATCCCAAATGTCATTGAACAACTGTTATATCTGGTCGTCGCTGATTGCTGTGCCGAAAACGCTGATCACTTATACTTGGAACAAGGGACCCTTGCAATTCCCACGACACAAAGTAAGAACACAAGACTAGTATAAGTGAAGATTTATTAGCCCCAAAACATTATGGACGACGACGATAATAAAAATAATAATGATGACGATAGTGATGATTATGAAAGTCTAAAATACACTGATTTATATATTGATTGTACACCAATTTTGATTAGTAATTAGGATTACATCACTTAACCAATTATAACAATTCACTTACTGAGCATAATTCAGGTCAACGGAATACAAGAACATCGTATATTATACAGGATAAAATATCATATGAGAAAAGAAAACAAATACTAAATTGCGTAACCATTACATTGAATCAAAACGGATGTAATGATGAATAAAACTCATATTGAGTAAATCAGTCGAATATTAACCTTTCTTCCCATTATATCAATAACTGTTGTACTACGTTGCAAACTCATTTAAATTTGAAATGTGCCACTGGACGCCAAACCCGTGGCTCTAACGATTAAGCGTTCACCTAGATATCTTGAGGGTCCCGAATTCGATCCGTTGTGGGGTTACCTGGTGTGCACTGTTGAAGAATTCAGTACTTGGACTAAACACCTGTCTAGTGATTCCTAGCTCTCAGTGGTAGCACAGATGAGATCACCAATTAGTAACGAATCATAGTCGGAGATTAATGAATATCACTTGAATAATAAATGATTATTCATTACTGAGACTATAAAAATTATAGTCTCAATATCAAACTTACTTATTCGCCACTATATCAGCATTTACTCTTCATCTAATTAATTTTCTTTTTAGATATATTAGTATGATGCGTAGCAACTTGAAATGATACACAACAAAACATGGTTTTACTTTGTCTATGAATGACTCACATCATAGCTTATGTGACTGAACGAATATATATATATTCTAACTTCTTATCTAAGTGGTATAGGCTAGTTTCATTAGAATAAGTTGTTCGTTCTTCTATGGTAACAATGTCAACAACAGACACATTTCTCCAAGTTTGTTATTGTTTTTGTGTCTACAAATATTGATGTTTATTGAATATTATTTCATCAGTAG